GTGCTTGATGCAGGCCAGACCCTTCACATGTGGTATAGAAATATATAATAAACACTCCAAGATTTGCTTGAAAGCATGGGTATCCACAAATTCCTTTCTGGGCATATTTCCAGATTAGACATTATCTGCTCTCTCATAAACCCCCTCATAACTGGTTCCATTCTCTTACCCCATTTGAATCTCTATGCGCGAAGGCTGAACCACGAAAACATTTGATCTCGTAGATCTACCCCCTTCTAGTGGAGTGTCGGTCTTATGACTCCCTCCCCTCATGTCGGGCCTGGAAGAGAGATCTTGATGCTGACCTATCGGACTCAGATTGGGACATGATATTTCAATACTCTCATAAATGTTCCCTCAATGTTTCGACCCAGGAAAACAGCTACAAAATAGTCTCTAGATGGTACCGAACCCCATTGAGAATTCATTGTTTCAACCCCACCTTTCCTAACAGTTGCTGGAGATGCGGGACCTCAGATGGGTCTTTTCTTCACATATGGTGGTCTTGCCCAATTCTACAACCTTTTTGGCAAGAGGTCCATAAGCTAGTAGTGTCTGTAACCACCTTACCCTTAGCTTTCTCTCCGACTCGATTCCTCCTCCACCACTCTTCCCTTCCCAGGGCTCAGTACTTCAAATCATTAGCCATGCACATGATCAACGCAGCCAGACTCTGTATTCCTGTTCTGTGGGGCTCCACATGCCCTCCTCTGTACATGATTGGCTCACCAGAGTGGGCAAAGCGGCAGACATGGAAGAACTAATTGCATCTGCGCTCGACACTCCTACGAAATTTGCCCACGTATGGGCCTGTTGGACCCACTTGCTGACTACCCCTGCATATCGATCCCTCATGGGCCAACCTGTCTGAACTTGACTAGGACTTCCTGATGGTGTTACTCAGTTACATTTGCCCTGTTGGGAATCATCATATTCCTCCTGGCGTTCCTCCCATATTTTCTTGCCGCCGATGACGCAGCAAAGATAACACCCACTCCCGTTACTGTTTATATTGACGATAAGGCAATCTCGGTGGTCATCCCCTCCCTTACTTTATCCTCCCCATGTGCTTTCCTCCCCCCTTTTTTTTTTCTCTTCTCTCTCTCACTCTCTCTCCTTCTTCTTTCTCTCTCTATCTCTGTCCCTCTCTCTCGTTTGTTTTTTCCTTTTTTTTTTCTCTCTCATATGCGTACATACGTCCCGGACATTCCTTCAAGAAGAATACTGAGAATGCTGCCAGCACCATCTCCCTTATTTCACTTGCGGTCCACATGACAAGTTATTCCTACATTCGCATTCGGACAATTCCACTATCTCGATCTGTAATATTGACTCTTACCCAGGCGTCACATATACTCTTCTCCCCTCTACAGCTTTTTACCTCCGGACGTTTCGGTAGGAGGCCAGACATCTCTTTATTTCAACCATTTGACAAATATATCTGAATATTACAGGCTCAACCCTGTCGTGGCCTAGTTTATCCACACTGATTGATCTGGCGTTGGATTTCATTTGCCTTTGTTTGCTATATCTGATTTGCTACGTGTCCTATGTATGCTTCATCTGTACATTTTCGTGTGTTAATTTGCACTTTGTTTTCAATAAACTTTGGTTTTTTTTTTTTTTGGAAAAAAAAGAAATATATAATACCTCAATGTCAATGGACACTAAAAAGACTGATGGGTATATCAGAAGCCCATCGATGATTTGAAGTAACTTGATGGTATCTTTAACATAGGTGGGCAAACTTGACATATGTGGTCAATTAATCTACTCAATTTTTTGGATAGTGATCCATTACCTGGTCTTCCTTGAGCAACTTTGGGGTCTTTATGTAGCATGAGTAAAGAGTAGAAAGTGGGAGTATGTGGGAAGCTGACACTCACATATTCCCATTGAGTGATGACACTAAATAGGCCGGATCAATGAATTTATATACACTGCTCAAAAAAATTAAAGGAACACTTTGAAAACACATCAGATCTCAATGGGGAAAAATATCATGCTGGATATCTATACTGGTATGGACTGGAAAATGTGCTGTGAATGTAAGGATGCCCCATCATTTGATGGAAATTAAAATTATCAACCTACAGAGGACTGAATTCAAAGACACCCTGGAAATCAAAGTGAACAAATGATGAGTCCATTTTGCTGAAATTTAATTGCAGCAACTCAAATAGGTACTCAGTAGTTTGTATGGCCCCCATGTGCTTGTTTGCATGCCTGACATTGTCTCCTAATGAGACAACGGATGGGTGTCCTGGGGGATTTCCTCCCAGATCTGGACAAGGGCATCACTAAGCTCTTGGACAGTCTGAGGTGCAACCTGGCAGTGTCTGATGGACTGAACATGATATCCCAGAGGTGTTCTTTTGGATTTAGGTCAGACGAGCGTGGGGGCCATTCAATGGTATCAATTCCTTCATCCTTTAGGAACTGCCTGCCTACTCTAGGCACATGAGCTTCTCCAGACCCTTTCACGTCTGTCACATGTGCTCAGGGTGAACCTGTTCTCACCTGTGAAAATCACAGGGTGCCAGTGGCAGACCTGCCAATTCTGGTGTTCAATGGCAAATGCCAATCAAGCCCTATGCTGTGGGGCAGTGAGCACAGGACCCACTAGAGGACGTTGGGCCCTCAGGCCACCCTCATGAAGTCTGTTTCTGATTGTTTGGTCAGAGACATTCATACCAGTGGCCTGCTGGAGATCATTTTGTAGGGCTCTGGCAGTGCTCATCCTGTTCCTTCTTGCACAAAGGAGCAGATACTGGTACTGCTGATGTGTTAAGGACTTTCTACGGCCCTGTCCAGCTCTCCTAGAGTAACTGCCTGTCTTCTGAATCTCATCCATGCCCTTGAGACTGTGCTGGGAGACACAGCAAACCTTCTGGCAATGACACGTATTGATGTGCCATCCTGGAGGAGACTGCCTGTGCAACCTCTGTAGGGTCCAAATATTGATTCATGTTACCAGTAGTGACACTGACCCTAGCCAAAACTAGTGAAAAACAGAAAAGATGAGTAGGGAAAAAAATGTAATTGGCCTTCACCTGTAAATCCATTCCTGTTTTGGGGGTCATCTCATTTTTGCCTAGCTATTGCACCTGTTGTTAATTTCATTAACTCCAAAGCAGCTGAAACTGATTAACAACCCCCTCTGCTACTTAACTGACAAGATCAATATCCCAGGAGTTTACTTGACTTGGTGTTATACTTTGATTAAAAAGTCTTCATTTAATTTTTTGAGCAGTGTGTATACACCAGGGGTTAGGCAAATCTTATTCTAAATCTTGCAAACTAGAACTAGAAGTCAAGACCTACTGAAATATATTGGGAGGGAATTGTGTGGTTATATTTTAGACATTGCTAGGACTAATAGGCAAACTACTGTCAAAAAGATATGTTACCAATGCAAAAAAAAAAAACACAAATCCTTTAATTAGAATGCTTGAAGGGTGCTGTAAAGCTGTATGTGGTGTTATACAGTATTACTTGCATGGACAGTCTCAGAGACAGGATACACTAGATGGGCATACTTAGCCATAGAATTGATCTTTTTTTTTCTTTATTTTATGGCTCATATTCAGCAGCAGCAACCAAAGGCTTTTCTCTAGTGGCTTTAGCAGCAACACATTCTTTTTCATTGAATGGTAATATATCCGCTTTGACCGACAGATAGAAATTGTCCAGTAGTTCATTGAGTCTGTCCCTGTTCTTTCTGATGCAAAATTGTACTACTGCTGGCCCTCTTTAGTAATTAGATGACCATAGATTATGCAGTTGTGTAAGATTGGCCAGCAACAGGACACTTTTAATAATGGAGAATAGGTTGCAATGTACTAGAGAAAAATTATGACACTGCAGAGCACACAGTAGTGTAAATTGTCCAGCAGCAGAACATTTTTAATCAGTGATAATATTCCAAAAATGTACTAGAGACTGAATACAAGCTAAAGTTTTACTACAAGAATCCAGAGACCAAGTGTAGAATTGGCCAGCAACAGGACAATTTTAAATTTCAAGGCTATGCCCGAATTTACTAAAAACCAAAAGGTCTGCAAGAATTAAGATACTGCAGAGGATACAGCAGTGTAAAATTGGCTGGCAGCAGGACAGGTTTCTTAAGGGATAGTGGGCTTTACTGGTGTATGCCAAACAACAGTGTGCTGTAAACAAAAGGCACCTCCTTTTTTTAAAACTGCCCTGTTAACATAAAATTAAAAAAAAAAAAGGTCTCAAAAATGCCACCCCTTTTTATTGCAGTTTAACCTATATAAGGCAAATATAAAATTAAAACCAAAACACATGCAAAATAAATTAAAACCCCAAAATACCTGAAATAAAGACAATTTTTTTAAGGAAAGCCTTGAAACAAAAAGAAAAAAAGTGTGTTAGAGAAAGGACAGAAGCTAAAAGGCACCACAGATCTCAAATTAACCACAAACTAAAAATGAAACAAAAAAAAGAGCTAGCAATCGAAATGAAAGTAAAGTTTCTTACCTGACCCCAAACTCCTCCTAATCAATTTGTCAGTCTTCCCTTTCCTTACATTTCCAATTCACTGACACTATGTGGTTGATTTACTAAAACTGAAGAGTGCAAAATCTGGTGCAGTACTGCATAGAAACCATTCAGTCTCCAGGTTTTTTCATCAAAGCTCAGTTGAACAAGCTGAAGTTAGAAGATTGGCTGATTGGCTACCATGCACTGTCACACCAGATTTTGCACTCTCCAGTGTTAGTAAACCAACCCCTATGGCTGTTCTGTGACCACTACCCTTTATTGTTAGGTTAACCAAAAGCCTTATTATTGGCCCTTCAAAGCCTGCTTACCTTAGCTCACAACCTGAAGGTTCCCAGTCTCTTCCTGTCTGTTAGAAGACAGTGGAAGCCTGGTATTTGGTGACAATACTGCTCTTCCTTAGAGAGACACTTTTGTCACCCTAGGATGAGAAATGCACTACCAGGCTAATGTACCCTAGTATGCACACAATCAAATTTTAGGTGAAAAAAAAAAATAGCAAAATCTGAATGGAAAATTGCTAGAAATATTCTCCAAAAATATTGTCACAAATTTGAAAAAAAAAATTAAATACACAAAGGCATACACAAAACATACAAGAAATATAGTACAAAAAGATATAATGCCCTTTTTTGTCTCAGGAGGATAGACTAATATTTCATTATTATCCATACATATTCAAGCACAAGTTTTCTCTATAGTTTTAAAAATATTCTGAAATGTGAAAGATAACAATATGAGATCATATGATAAAACTGATTTGTTTGGATTATGTTTGATATGTATATGTTTTACTATGTTTCATATTTATCTCAATCTTGTCATTGTGGGTTTACCACCTTTTTTCTAACCTTCTTGCTGTAACCAATTCTTATTGCTAACATCTATTTTGACATTGTAATATTATAGTTCTCAGAGGGCTAAGAAAGAAAACAGTTATGTAACATCCGTCTATACGCTCTAGAATACTTAATTGTACTTTAAACAAAAATCCTTGGATTTGCAATCTGTTTTTAATTTGCAGAGGAAATACCAATAAAAGCTTTTAGGTATTTTCTACAGGACAGCCGTAAATTCAATATATCTTCCCTGTTACACTGCTGCTCTTTCTGTTTTAATGAGAAAAAGCCTCAAAGACATGGTGGATTATTTATCAAACAGAAACCTTGTGGAGTACATACCATCCAGCATGTACACCATTTTATAGTGCTGCACAAAAATTTTATCGAAATTGCCTAGTTTACCTGTGAATTTGCTTTACATTATGTTTTTTAAATTAGAGCAACATACATACATATTTAATATTGTTGAAAATAGGTCAAATTAGAAAATGTTTAGGAGATTTGTTTGTATTATAAAAGAATACCTAGGTGCTTGATTTTATACACCTGTGGCCATGGAGGTGATTGAAACACCTGAATCCAGTGATTCAGAGGGGTGTCCCAATACTTTTGGCAATATAGTGTGTATATATATATATATATATATATATATATATATATATATATATATATACATACAGGTGAAACTCAAAAAATTAGAATATCGTGCAAACGTTCATTTATTTCAGTAATGCAACTTAAAAGGTGAAACTAATATATGAGATAGACTCATTACATGCAAAGCAAGATAGTTCAAGCCGTGATTTGTCATAATTGTGATGATTATGGCTTACAGCTCATGAAAACCCCAAATCCACAATCTCAGAAAACTAGAATATTGTGAAAAGGTGCAATATTCTAGGCTCAAAGTGTCCCACTCTAATCAGCTAATTAAACCATAACACCTACAAAGGGTTCCTGAGCCTTTAAATGGTCTCTCAGTCTGGTTCAGTAGGAATCACAATCATGGGAAAGACTCCTGACCTGACAGTTGTGCAGAAAACCATGATTGACACCCTCCATAAGGAGGGAAAGTCTCAAAAGGTAATTGCAAAAGAAGTTGGATGCTCCCAAAGTGCTGTATCAAAGCACATTAATAGAAAGTTATGTGGCAGGGAAAAGTGTAGAAGAAAAAGGAGCAAAAGCAGCAGGGATGACCACAGCCTGGAGATGATTGTCAGGAAAAGGCCATTCAAAAGTGTTGGGGACTTTCAGAAGGAGTGGACTGAGGCTGGAGTCAGTGCATCAAGAGCTACCACACACAGACAGATCCTGGACATGGGCTTCAAATATCGTATACTTCTTGTCAAACTGCTCCTGATCAACAAACAGCGTCAGAAGCGTATTACCTGGGCAAAAGAAAAACAGACCTGGTTTGTTGCTCAGTGGTCAAAAGTTCTCTTTTCTGATGAGAGCAACTTTTGCATCTCATTTGGAAACCAAGGACCCAGAGTGTGGAGGAAGAATGGAGAGGCACACACTGCAAGATGCTTGAAGTCCATTGTGAAGTTTTCCAGTCTGTGTTGATTTGGGGAGCCATGTCATCTGCTGGTGTTGGTCCACTGTGCTTCATTAAGTCCAGGGTCAACGCAGCCGTCTACCAGGAGATTTTGGAGCACTTCATGCCTCCTTCCGCAGACGAGCTTTATGGGGATGCTGACTTCATTTTCCAGCAGGACCTGGCACCTGCCCACACTGCCAAAAGAACCAAAACCTGGTTCAATGACTGTGGGATTACTGTGCTTGATTGGCCAGCAAACTCGCCTGACCTGAACTCCATAGAGAATCTATGGGGCATTGCCAAGAGAGAGATGAGAGACATGAGAGCGAACAATGCAGAAGAGCTGAAGGCCGCTATTGAAGCATTCTGGTCTTCCATGACACCTCAGCAGTGCCACAGGCTGATAGCTTCCATGCCACAGCGCATTGAGGCAGTAATTGCTGCAAAAGGGGCCCAAACCAGGTACTGAGTACATTTGCATGCTTATACTTTTCAGAGGTCCGATATTGTTCTATGTACAATCCTTGTTTTATTGATTGCATGTAATATTCTAATTTTCTGAGATTGTGGATTTGGGGTTTTCATGAGCTGTAATCCATAATCATCACAATTATGACAAATCACAGCTTGAACTATCTTGCTTTGCATGTAATGAGTCTATCTCATGTATTAGTTTCACCGTTTAAGTTGCATTACTGAAATAAATGAACTTTTGCACTATATTCTAATTTTTTGAGTTTCACTTGTATATATACGTCCGTTCTCGTCCGACATCCGTTGCTGACCTCACAAATGCGCTTCTGGAAGAATGGTCAAACCTTCCCATAGATACACTCCTAAACCTTGTGGACAGCTTTCCAAGAAGAGTTGAAGCTGTTATAGCTGCAAAGGGTGGACCAACTCAATATTGAACCTTACGGACTAATACTGGGATGCCATTAATGTTCATATGCGTGTAAAGGCAGGCGTCCCAATACTTTTGGCAACATCAGTTTTTAATAATTTAAGTTTAATAATTTTTTTTAAGTTTTTAATAATAAGTGTATCTAAACCCAGGAACAAAAATGAAAATTTAATATATTGCAGCGTATCAGTCCTTAGTTGTGGAGGTTGAATTGGTTTTCTTTTTTTCAGAACTATTTTCACTTTGTGATTCTGCTAGTAACACACTTATCCTAAGGGGACAACACTCACTCACTATTCTGTATCTGTGGAAAAGCAGTGTTGTATCCTTGGACAGAGTACAGAGCACCACCCCTCTACTTATCTCTATAACAAAAGGGGAAGCTGTCTGTAGTCCACAGAGAAAGCTAGTAACAATGCTTGCTGTAAAAAAATGTAGCAGAAAAGAGCATAAGAAGCAGGGGCGGACTGACCATTTGGAAACTCGGGCACTGCCCGAGGGCCCGAGGTCACTAGGGGGCCCCATAAGATGCCCCTGGTACCTTTTACATAGGCTTTTTGAGTTTGGGCAAGGACTCAGGGGCCCCATGATCCCCTATTGCCCGGGGGCCCCATGAGTTGTCAGTCCCCCCCTGACAGGAAGATAGGAGCTCACTGGATTTCTGGCAGGATCAACAGGTATTGTTTTTGCAGGGGCAAGGGCTAGTTCACACCAGAACATGGTGCATAAAACCTGCATTCTCTGCATGTTTTCCACTCTGTGTTCCAAATGCACTGCAGTTGTGAGTATATAAAGTTAATGATACCCAAGTCACAACCACAGATGCGTTTGCAGAGAGTTTGCAAAGGTAGCACATGCACTACTTTTGCTGCGGTGTGGGGCAATTTCAACCTATTCAAAATGAATGGGCTGAAATCGCACTGCACAAACCAGCTTGTGAATGGCCCTTGATGGCCACCCAAACCATCCTGATTTAAATCTCCACTGGCTTTAAATTACCTAGGGTGAAGGGCTAAGCTGATGCAGAGACAAGAGAGGCTCCTATCTTTGGTTCCGTGGTGGATGAAGGCCTAGTTAGGGCAGCTATCAGCATTTCTAAGGACCACCCTCAGATTACACAACTGATATGCAAGATTGCCATTTCTGATATACAGAGCTTGTCAAACTTACAGGGAAGCCCTGCATATTACAGTTTAAAAGTCGAGTCTTCCTATGTGGGAAGCAGGTCCAATGTAAATGAAGACTGCATTCAGGCTGCAGTCTTTATGCATGAGTGCTTATGTGTACATCATTGTTTTGGCTTTTAATCTATGCACAATGCCAGCTTTAATGATACTGAAAATTATAAGAAAAAATACATTTAACCACTTTCCTACCGGGCACTTTTACCCCCTTCCTGCCCAGGCCAATTTTCAGTTTTCAGCGTTCTCACACTTTGAATGACAATTGTGCGGTCATGCAACATTGTACTCATATGAAATTTTTATCATTTTTGAGACAGATAGAGCTTTCTTTTGGTGGTATTTAATCACCTCTGGGTTTTTTATTTTTTGTTAAACAAACCAAAAACAACTGACAATTTTGAAAAAAAAAAACGTTTTTTCTTAGTTTCTGCTATAAAATTTTGTAAATAGGTGATTTTTCTCCTTCACCGATGTGCGCTAATGAGGCTGCAGTGATGGGAACTGATAGACTGCACTGATAGGCACTGATAGGCGGCACTGATGGGAACTGATGAGGAGGCACTGGTATGTGGCACTGATGGGCATTGACAGGCATCATTGATGGGCACTGAAAGGCAGCACTCATATATGGCACTGAAAGGCAACACTGATAGGCAGCACTGACTGTTTGGCAGGACTGACTGGCACTGTTAGGTGGCACTGACAGGCAGCATTGATAGGCGGCATTGATGCGCACTGATAGGCAGCACTGACTGGTATTGATAGACGCCACTGACTGGCACTGATAGGTTGCACTGATTGGCAGCGCTGATTGGCGGCACTGACTGGCACTGATATGTGGCACTGACTGGCAGTGATAACTGGAACTGAAGGAAAGCTCAGATGGGCACTGATATGTGGCATTGATGTGGTACTGATGGGCACTGGCAGGTGGCATTGATGGGCACTGACAGGTTGTATTGATGGACACTGACAGGTGGCACTGATGGGGCTGCACTGATCATCAGGGTACTGATTATTAGGGCACTGATGATCAGTGTACACGTCCCCTCTGAGTAATGCTGATTACCGGCTCTCCTCT